CCCGATGCACGATGAGACCACCAGATTTCGCGGTCTCTCTTCAGACTAGCACGGTTTTGCGTTGAGGTCTTTGCGAGTCTCATTGTGTTCGCTTACAGTCGGATTATGTCCGCGAGCATCTAGAAGTTCCAGACTATGACCCAATGTCCAGGTTAGCAATTTGATTTGCCACATGAAGTTATGCCTGATGCTAATGACGTCTGGCGAATGTGGACTTGTGATCTTTAACTGTGTTCAGTGGGCGTTTACTCAGCACATATTCTAGAGCACTGCTACGCATTCCGAACGCCTGGCTTTGCCAGTTGGCTGGTATCTGCGCTCACGCCGTCGTTGCATATGTTCGCCGAAACACACCCGTAGATCGGCACACACAAGATCGTGAATGGAGTCCACGCTGGTGCCCCAAATCGAGTGACAGTTTTGGAGACAACCTCTCTAGTGGTAACTGATCGCGATGTGCTGGATTTGCGTCATTGGCTGGTGGACGCCATGTTACTTTCTGCGGACGCTGTGTCGGAGGTTAGTGCTCGCGAGAAATAGACAGCTGTAGCAACCGCTCATCGTTATCATTACTGGAGCCTACATCATGTTGGCCACCCAAATGCAGCTCATCAGTGGACATCTTTCCAGCTTGGACGTTCAAATCACCAGCAAGCACCACAGTATCCGTACTTTTCCAGTAACAAATGTGCCCGTTCAATTGGTGGTAAAAGTCATCTTTCACCGAGTCAGGGCTGCAATTTGTGGGGTCGTAGCTCGAAGTGACAAACCGGCATCGTTTGTCTGTACTCTACTTCGAAGCATTGAACGAGCCAGCCAATCTGACAGCGCACATCCGGCTGTTAACCTGAGATCTAGTCGATCAGGGCAGCTTCAGCTCGGGGGCTCAGAACAATGCCCACACAGGCTTGATTAGTATTTAAAGCTGTGTTATCTCCAGACAAACGCAGTGAGAAAGTGCCTTCAGTGTCTCGTGTGAGGGATTGCAGATCGATCACGAAACTCGAGTTTCCGATAAGCAGCAGATATCCATGGATAGGGTCTCTAGTGTTCGGGCAAGTGCTACCTGTTGGCCAATCAGTAGCAAAGTGCGTACCTTGAGTCATGCCGGTCCTAGCGAGGATCGAGGACTCCAAAGAAAAACGGATGAACTGACGTTGTCTGCTTGGTTGGACATGGACTTGTTGACTGGCCTGTACCGACGCCTTGCGCTTGCGTTTTAGCCGAGGCTACAAGACAAGCGACTATCGATCCAAGGTGGTGGACGTCCAATAATTGGGGTTGAAAACAGGGAATAAAAATGAAGTTGGAATGGGACGATAAGGATGACAAAGCACAAGAGTGGATAAAAAGACGGGAAAGTCTGACTAATATCATCCCCACTCATATCCACCCTGTCGATGCGGCAGACAGAACGCCGTTGATTATCCTCTGCGACGGCCAGAGCGTCAATAATGTATTTGAAGGTACAGTCATTGTGTTACTCTGCGTGAGCTGGATGCTGTCAGCTTGCCCACGGCTAGACGGGAGAACGGTTAGGGTTCTCAACCAAAGCCTTTGGTTCGAAAACCCGACTGCAGAACAGTGGAGTTTTTGCACTCGGCTACTAAGAGTCCATGTTATGAAGTAAGGATTCACTCTCACTCATACTCCCAACTTGGTGGTTCAGTGGATTGAGTCTGTCAGGCCTCCAACCATTGACCAACCTGGTATGAGTGGCTTTTAAAATACAAAAAGCACAACCCAGACTAGCTCAATGGATCGCTGAGGTATACAAGCCATCACATCACTTTTATGTCCAGTCTTGTTAAGATGGCTCCTTGACAGCGAGCACGTCGGGTTTGATAATAGAGCTCATAGTGTGTATTCTCGTATGATCTGAATACGTCAATGGCGGATTGTAGTCATAAGCTGTTTTGCGACGTCATTATACCCTTCACTGCGAACATCGTATGTACGCACACGTGACCGAGATGTACGACGGCGTTTCCTTTTGTCTACAAGCTCCACGGCAATGAAGAAGCGTCGTTTAGGGAGGTGGCATGCCTCTGGTTCGCGTATCTTCGCTGAGTGGACCTCAGATCGCAGCTATACCCCTCGTATGGATGGACTAGAGAAGATCTTGGCCGGTTGTCTAAGCCAGTAGGGAGCTGAGATTGCAGATGTAACGTTCCGGAGCGGGGATCCATTGACCCAAGCAGTAGCCTTTTCGAGTGCGTGCAGTTCACACACAAAGACGGGAGCTGTTGCAGTGCGATGGATCTAGCCCGCGGAGGGATCGCGGATCGACAAATGTCGCTCCGGGCGAGATTTCCGACGACGAGATGGTATCACGTGGCCAAAATCTTCGTTGGCAGAGTGAAACGATCTTCGGACAGCCGCAGCCATTTGCATACATAGGCAAGAACTAGTTTATCCATATTTTTGATGTATGGCGATTTACTTCCACCTGGGAGAAGTCGCGACTGTGACGAGGTATTGGGAAACTGCAGTGTATTTTTAATTAATGATATGGCTTCAGGGAACCTCTGGTGGTTTCTCGAAGCTAAGAGCGTATTTGTTCTAGCTATGTAGGCGGTAATTCGCGATTCCAGTTTAGCAGAAGGTTAAGATAACTGAACGACTTAAGCAATGATATGGTGATCGAGGAGCATAAGGTTAGCGATCTCTCTAAGACTAGTTTTTCTTTTGCTGTCCACGATGATATTGAGAGTACTTAACTTAAGTAGGCTAATTAATAGGATAATGAAAAAAGCGTTGTGAGATGATCAATTAAGGGCGTCTGGTCTCGGGTAAACGTGATCGCTATGTCAGCATAAGCCACGTAGTCGATAGGGCCAGTGGGACAAGATCGCTTAGATGATGCATGCTTGTAAGGGGCCTAGTCCAAAGTTATGATGAAGAACAGTTGGGAAAGGGGATCCCCTTGCCCAATACCTTTCGTGGATGAATGCTGATCCCGTCAAAAGTTGTAATAGCGAAGGTATAACAGAAAAAGGTAATTCAATAGAAAAAATGGAGCACCAAAAGAAGTGGCGGCTGGGAGTGAAGAACGGTGGGAAACGGAGTCAAAGGCTTTGAAGATATCTGTTGAGGCGATGAACCAAGGTGTAGGATTCACGTGAGAGATACCAAGCACGGCCTGAGGGATAGTCGGAACTTGGAAACAACCATGCTTGCGGAACAACCCAGATAGAAAATGGTCTACAGAAAAAGGTGAAACTCTTCCGTCGAAGAAGGAAACTGCATTCATTAGGCACGACTTGCAAGGCATGGGGCTGCACCCAGATGATCGACTTCTTGACTTGGAGTACGCCGACGATATTACCGTTATCTGTGACAGTTCCCATAGGTACCAAGTAACACTGGATAAATTAGAATTCACTGTCAGTCGTCTCAGGCTATGATTTGCACACATAAACTTCCAAGTCCTTCACCAAGCTTGCCGGGACACACCACTGCACTGACCCTTGGTGGAGATCAGCTAGAAGTTGTCCAGAAATTAAACTATCTAGGCGGTTATATCAGTGCATGTGGAATCGAAGGTGAGATCACAAACCGAATAGCAAACGCTCGAGGCACTTCTGCCCATCTCCGCCACCCGTGGCGCGGGCGCAACCTCACCGTCGCCCTGCGGGAGAGTTTACAATACAGCCGTAAGTTCAACTCTCTCGTACGGTTATGAAACCTGACCCATCAACTCATAGACATAAAGAGGCTTTTTACCTCATGCATGGTGAAGCCACACCTAAGTATTGAACATGTTCGGCGGCACGTATTTGGTGCAGGAAGGGCGAGTGAACCGCTCAGCACCATTATATCACTCACCAGGCTCCGATGCCGGGGTCACGTGTGGCGCATGTCAACCCCCTGACTCCCGCGATGTGCGTCGGGGGTGTAGATAGAAGAGGATGGGAGGCCAAGCGATGACCTGGTCAAGAGGAATGAATTCCCTCGCTTCGAAGTTGGCGTCGTTTTGTATTTCCCGACTGCCTGACTGGGGACTGAAGGATGCTTAACGCATTTGGTTGGATACACTAACCGACATGGCGAGGAGTCGAGTGCAGTTACCTTTGTGTTGTGAGTCTCCTTGTCCCTCCCCTTCCATTTAGCATCACCCTCCAACAACGACCACATGTGATATTAGCATTATGTTACTTTTTTATAGCCTTGAAATCTACATTGCATTTTGCCATATCTTTTTGTATTGCGGCACATTAGCTAAGGTGTGTTCCTCTCCCTCAGTCAACATGTATTGATGATGATGTTGACGATTCGTACTAAACGAAGGGTTGCAGTCTTGTTATTTCTCTACACATTATCTGTACCTCGACATCCACGGTTTTTCTACTACTTTATGTCTATTCGTACACCGCTTAAAACTGCTTGATACCTCAGCTCACACATCTAGCTGTGTCCAGTAAAGTTTTTCCCCAGACGTGCTGATGTCACTGAGTTTGTTACTTTCGAATGTCCTTCTATCTGCCTCGTGAGGTTACCGATATGGATGCTTTGTTGCCTGGCTATCGATAGTCATTTGTTCTGTGCCCTCAGTTTAGTGTTGACCACTGTCTCTCATTTGCATAAGCTGCGTTTACGCTCACAGCAAACCCACTGCCTACTCTGAATTCCGTAAGGAAACGGATTTACCCATTGAGGTACATTGCTTTCATTATATTCACATTGTACTTGCTCATTGGGTGGAATTTTCAGTTTTATTAGTCTCTATTTTCACAGCAGTGTTGGCTAGGTACTTCTCGGGTTGATGGCTGTGATGTTTTATTATGAAACTTGTTTACCTTGTATAATTTACCTGTTTATTCCTGCTTTTATACTATTGCTACCGCCCTACACACCTCATTTGTTTCATCTCATTTCGCAAAGTCGCAATTCAATCACTACCGTATCTAACAATTTGACTACTGCTTGATTATCTGCCGTCGTTTTGTCTATCTGCCTTATTAGCATCATGGCCCTTTGTTTTCATTCTTTTGTACTAGTGTTTCAAAAATGCGATGAAAACGTCGTTCTGCGACTAGCTATGTCCAATGCGGATGACAATACAGGCTTAACATTCGTTCAGCAAGTTTGCCCCGCCGTCGTTATCAATCAGGAGAATGCAATATCTTCTTCCGATGGACTGACTGAATTAAAGGTACTTCTTACCTGATGCCATCCTTGTGCCTTCCCCTGCGCATCTTATGTATGCGCGCTTGTACGTCTAAGTGCGCACAAATTTAGATACTGCATTTATAGTACCTTTTTCAAACTCCTTCAGCTTTACTCAAACCTTTCTTACACACGCACCTGGTTAATGGCCGTATTCGCTCAATGGATTGCGGATGTCAGCTCCTGTTCTGTGTAACCTCTTGCATACTGCATACGCAACCCAACACAGACAATATGAATCTCTCCACGAGTTGTACTCGGCTGCAGTGTAAACGCCTCGTCCAGCCTACAACTTCCTACACTTTGACATACAATGCATGCTAGCATTTCTGAATGGACACATCCGCGATTCTCACTAGTATCTAATGACCACTTTGTATGTCCGACCGGTTACTATATTCCCTTGCTTGTATCATCTGGCGGCCAACTCACCGTATGTGAGTTTCCTTGCCACAGCTACCATCACCTCATGAGGAGACTGCGAATTCTCACCACACCTTGCCAGTTTCATTTCCTGTGAAGGTGACTGCTATAAGTGGTTTGAACTTTATCATATACCTCAGTCGTGTAAAACCTCCTTCATTTCGATGGGGTATTGCTCTCGATGTGTTAGTGTATTCAACGCAAATTAAGCATGATGTGCACTGACTAAGAGGTTGGCGTGAACACTGACAGAGGAGCTTTTTTCATCCGCATCGCTTGCGAATGTGATTTCTTTCGAGGTTTTCCCGCCCCTCATTATAGGACCATTGCCTGAACCTTGTTCCCGGGTACTTCAGTAGCTTTGACTTTGCGTAGCTGGTTGGCTACCAGTTAGCCAGGGGACAGCTGTCTCAGTAACATTACAAATAAAGTTACCGTTTCCAGCGTTAGGCGGAAGTTATGTGTGTTTTGCGCACGCTAACGCAAAGTGTTGCAGTCTAACTTTTGAAAGTCTACACTAGTGACAGCACATAGGCTGTTTCTTGAGGATCCTGGCTAGTTTCGCATACAGATCAAAGAAAATGTTATACGTTAACATCAAGTGATGATAATATCATAGCCAAAGTGTCGCAATATAGCCCGAAAGGGTCTCATGGTATATCTCTACCATCCCTCACTAAATCCCTGCTCTTGTATTCAGCCGTTATTTCCATCTTTTGCCAGTAGTTTTTAGGCTCAACTGAACCAGTATGTAGTGTGAATGTATCCCATTCACTTCTTTTCGTAGGAGGGCCTAGCGTTCGTTCTTGTGTAGCAGCAGAATTCTGCTATCACTGGATAGACCGTACATTTGTACTATTTACACTGACTATGTCACGTCGATGCATGCTGCTCACTTATCTCGATATGTATTGTCTATCAATACTGTCCAGTTGAATGAAACCTGATCTGCCGATATCGTAGCAAGTTTTTGAATTGATCGGCCGATGTTCACCATGGAAAGAAGCCTCAGGACTCTCCACTCACATCCGTAGTCAACTGCTCCGACTTTACCTTCTCACACTGTACTTTTTCATCATCCATTTGGCGATCAGCGTTGTCTTCTTGTTTTCCTTGGCATAATTTCTTCTCTTTATTTTCTATCTGTGATGCTTCTATTACTTTCGCTATCCTAGTAGTCATGGCGGTTTGGGCCCCACTGTCTTTGCGTACCCAATTCACTTAGTCAAACCACACAGCTGAGCTGCGCATCGTAGCGTCGATATCACCACCGTCTTTCCTGTCGCATTTCTACCGGCTGTGGGTTTTCAGACGAAAATTGTCCGTTCTTTGCTCATTATTCCTTTCGATTACTTTTCACCATTTCCTTGAGCTGAAATAATTCCGGAGAGTGCTAAGTTGATTGACCAGTTTCTTTCGTTTGATGCATGCATTCGTCGCTCTAGTTTGCGCCACGTCCCTGATCTTGTCACCACTTTCACTTAAGTTGTTGTTATCTCGTGTCAATATATGGAAATGTAACCCTGGCTCACTTTCCTGTCTGTTTAAGAATTTGGTCTAATCTGTCCGTCTGATATTTTCCTACCTTCACTATAGCCCCCTCCATGACCGATTTGATGCTTGTTCGCTTTCGTCAATTAAAGAGCTATACAAAAGACGATAGGGTGGCATACGCGATACGTGGTCGAGTCAATACCTGCTGTGTTAACTCCCGTTTTATGGAAGGACTGTTCACTCTATTACTTACGCGACACTGCCACCTCATACGGGCAATCATTTACGGGCAATTGTCAAATACTGACCATCCTTTTATGGCTTCCGGGTGAACAGGCCAGTTCTCACAGCCGAATAATAATGAGCCGATGCACTGTACACCTTGCTCTTAAGATTGCGATTGACATCGCGACAGCAATGTAGCTGTCTCGCTTTGAGGAATGCAGGGTGGACCTTTGCGAACCTCATCTCCAACACCGCCACCAACCGTGATGCAGCTCTTAGATAGGCGAAGTAGGGGACTTATTCCAAAACCTCACCAGCAATAGTGAGAACAGGCACAGGCACCTTCAAGTTATGTATTAGTGTTTTACATTTGGCCGGGGTTAGATACAGACTGTTCTTGTATGCTTCCATCACTGACCGGTTCAAAGCGCTCTGGACGGTTTGTGGATCGTCCTACAGCAAAGCATTATCATCGGTATAATCCAATTTCGCGATTCTGCCGCCAGGAGGAAACCCAATACCGCGGTTTTGGAACTTTTCCAGTTCTCATTGGAATGGCGAAATAAGGCAACCCTGGTGAACGCAGCTGTGACAGCAAATAAGGAGGGAAGCCTGCCGTAAGCCTTTACTTTGCCCGACCCCTGACTGTAAAGCTTCTTCAGGATGGTTGCAAACTTGTCCCACAACGCGGTTCTATCTACTGAATCAAATGCCACTCGGAGGTCCAAAAACGCTGCAATGGTTGGCCATCGGTGAACATTGGGGCGCTCAAGGAGTTATATATATATATATATATATTTATTCACAGTCTGTTAACAGACATTGTGCCATCAGAACCGTGGCAGAAGAAAAAGGTGAAGAAGATGCGATTAAAAATATGGGAAACGAATTTTTTTGGTTTTACACACGCCATTTTGTATTTTTTGTTTTGTTTTGTGAGTTTTTGTGTGTATCAAAGGGATGGTGAAATTGCGGAACAACATTGCCGCCACTGATGTCTGTTGCGGGCCATGACGTCCAATGTTTCCAATCACTGCAATTCAGCATCTCGTGGTCCCCAACCTGGAAGGCGGACTGGTCCGACTGCTGCCAAACTTGAGGTCGCCTTCTTCATACTCCTTCTCCACGTCATCGGCTGTCCACCGCGGCACTTTTTCCAATCGCTCCCTGGGAGTGCAAATAGGAGTTGGTGAAATGTGATGACTTGTTCGATGCAATGTTGGTCTTTGTGACAACCAGCTTGTTCTTCTCGTGAAAATCTCTATTCATCGAAAGCTTGCGAAGTAGAAAGGACAAGAAAATCTTGGACGCAACAGAGATAAAAAAAATTTCGTGGTAATTAGCGATCTCTTCGTGGGAGCCATTCTTGTGAATCGGAACAATGATTCTCCTCACGATCTTGAAACCTTCTCAGTCCAACTCTTCGTAAGCGATAACTGGACTTCGTTGAGTGCATTCCCGCCGTCCTTGAAAGTAGCCGAAGGAAGACTTAGGGTCGGGCGTATTCGGGCGCTTCAATGATTTGATTGCACCTTTGCTTCGCTAGGAGGATCTGTGGGGACAGACCAAACCCTATCCGATGAAAATAGGTGTGTCACGGAGGACAGTGCTGGTTAATTAAATTGATGATCAAAGTGCTCATACCGGCGACCCAATCGCCTACGTAGATGTGTGATTTCATACCGTCTCACAGATTGTCACGCTGACGGCGTGTGAATTGTCACTGTCGGTCTTGATTGGGCAAAATAACGCTGTAGTTTCCAACCGATGCAGCAACTCCCTTCTTTGCAGGTCATTTTGACCGCCAAGATTCACGATTTTTGCGAAGGCTCGCTTGTGGCTGTTAACAAAGAGACCGACATACACAGCCCATCGACGACCTATCAGTTTCGACGATATTACCGAGCTCCATCTCTTTGCACAAAACCTGCGGATAGCATGACTTGTAGCAAACCCGACAATAAAAAATAGAAAATAATAGTGTCAGCTGTACGCCGTAACGGCGCTTCTCTGTCGCGCGACCACCACCAGTCGCGCGCGAACCGAGTATACCGCGAGGACACTCACTCCGACACGGATTCGAACCGGGGATCTTATGGTTGCAAACCAGGCGCGCAAACCACTCGGCCACCGGCTGATAATGCCGGTCGGCATCCTGTAAAAGTGAGAGAGAGCGAGGTTTTCACGAAACCTCTCAATACTTCATTTGCACCGTTGTACCGTGCAGTTTACAACTCAGGTTTGTTTCGCTCTAACTGGTCTACCGAGACGCATGCAAACTGTCGCATGCACCAATTCACGCTCCGTTTTCATATAGGTTGTGTGGTATGATCCGCAATCCCGTGTGCTCTCATGCCACTTGTGACAGATGGGTTTGTGGACAATTAGCAATGAAAGCTGGGCTGTTGACGGAAAACAACAGTTGGCACAGTGGCGTCCAGCGTCATCAGTATCATCAACGATAGCGATACCTCAGCCATTTCAACCGATGGTTTTCTTCCGTATATCCATAATGACCTACTACTGGAGAATGAATAATAAGTGGTAGACAAGGGGTCCTAGGGTTAAAACTTAATTCCCTAATTAAATATTCCATTTCAATTTGCCTGCGCTTTACCAACAACATACCGTCACAAACAGTTGAATATCGTGCGTAGTAGGTGCCATCAACGAGACAGCTTCTTAGCGACTCTTACTACTCCACGTCGTAATCAGCCATTATCCGGCAGATAAAATTCTATTCACTGAAGTCCAGGGAAGTCTGTACAGTATCTTTCCACTGGTCACTCAAGATTCTCATTTCCTGATGTTGGCGCTCTGCTACAACTTTAGATGAAATTGACTACTTTTCTGCAAGACCGTCTCTGGAACCGGGTGCCACGATCAATAATCCTAGGTAGTGTGTCAAGGCAGCCATCACTTTTCTTGTTCTAGAAACCATGTGTAGGAACATCAACCTTTGCTAAGCATATTCTTTATATACTCTACTAGATGGACACTTGTTCCTGTCGGAATCCCCTAACTGTTCACCTTTGCTTCGACTTTTTATACGGTCATGGGGTCTCGAGTATTTCTTGTAATTTGGAACATTCTAATATAGACACGCTTTACCCGCGCCCGCTAGTTAAATTCTGTTTCCGATCATTCTATTAACCGTCATGGACGAGAGCTAAATTATTTTTTCAGTTGCAATTTTTTGAACAACATTTACCTGCTTACAATTTTTTATACACAAACGATTGCTCAATTTTTAGCCTTCTGAGTCCATCATTGAACGTGGGGAGCGTAGATTTGCCTGCATGTACTGCGCTAAGCTCTATCACTCCGAGAGCAACCTTCAGGTCCATCAGGACGTCGTTCACCGCGGTAAGACCTCACATTTTCTCACCCTTAATTCCACCACAACATGTTGCCTTTTGCGTGTCTTTTTTGTTTCAATTCTTTTATGCTGGTGGGTCCTCATTATAATGCTCTTGTCTCTCTACCTCTTTGTATTCTGTTGGATATAATTCATGTTCTATGCTATTCCGGTTGAAAACAAGCACGTCTCCCATCGGACGTCAGCAGTCATTAATCTTCAGAGGAACAACTGTACAGGCGACACAGCTACATTAAGACTGGCTATATTTATAGGTACACACGAGAAGCTCCGTTTTTCATAGCATGTAATTCACATACTAGAGTATCAACCGACAATGTGTTAAACCAATTTACTAGTAGATCGGTTTGTCACGTTGCATTCTGGTATGAGCTGAGAGCTTTTGCTGCATATGATACATCCCTTACCTTTTCTTGCCGGAAAACGGTTTCCCGGGGTCATTCGCTTTCTCCCCTGACACTTTGGTAGCGGTTGGTACTTCCTCTAAGTATTCTGTGACAAAAATTTTCCATAGCTTATCTCGTGCACGCTGCCTCTGCATTTCGTTCGGACAGCATCGGTCCTTGTACAAAGAAATATTCATTTACTTTAACTCCAAATCCCCATCATGCAACCGCGATGTATGCGTTAATACCCAATGACCACAACAGATGTCGCCTTGATGTACTTTGTGTTAATCGCCTCTGACTGCCGGCTTATTTATTGGTCTCGGTCAACTTTTGCGTGCCGTAACCGAATGCTGAAAGCTTATCATTCGATTTAGGGCCGTCCGTTGCTTTCATCATTATATGCATCTACTTTGTAGCCCGTTTTCCTGTTGCCTTATTGATCCATCTATGCAAGTCCTTTCCAAGCGATTCCCTATTCATTTACTAAATTGACTTCTTTGCAACGAGGCTGATGCGATGGTTTGCGTACCTCCGTGACCCATTGAGCTTCGCCGGGTAGCGTTTTCCATGTGCTTTCGGAGCCACTCACTCGAGACAGGTCAATGGTTAGGGGCCAGACTAACAGTCTCACAATCCGCTTAGGGAGATATCGATGGCCGTCTTCCTTTTGAAACAGCCGTGGGAGACAACAGGTCTGCGGCTTGATTGGCGGAGAGCACGAGTGCCACGCACGGTGAGAGGACACCATTTGCTGCAGAGTGGTTTGTTACTGCCCGCCTCAAGCGAGGCAGCCCCTGGTCTATTTGGTGCAAACCCGCCAACTCCCACCTGCGGCTGGCCGTGGTCGCGGCGGTGTAAGGTAATACGGTTGTTAGACAAAAGTACATTTGTTAGATCTACGAGCAACGGACTACCGCCGCAGTCGAATAACCTCATTGAAAATGGCACCATACAAATAGCTCAGGCAACACACAGCAGCTGCGACAAACGGGCTGCGGTCCCGAGTTACCGGTGGAAGCGGCCATTTTCAAATGTCACATTCTCAAATGGCCGATGAGGATGACTTATAAAAACGCATTCGCGTGACTACCCGGTTCACACTTACCTACGCATCGCTATCCTACACTGCACTACGCACTAACGCACTGATGATGTCACCTCGACTGCTGACGAACCGTTTCCAAAATAGTTGCCAACCTCAGGGAACAGTTCATCCAACAAATGAGCAACCCGAGCTACCAACATTTACTTCTGTATCACAACACTAGTACATTGTTCTAAGTCTTCAAAGGATGTGTGTAGTGTGCATGAACTAGAGCCCAATGGGCCCCCTGCAATCACACTCCCGAACTGAACCAGCTCCTTACTGCTTTGTAGGTCAGGCTATTGAGCCAAACGCTCCTAGTGGATTACCTCAAGCCGACCAAATCCCCCACTGCCTTATAGGTCAGTCTGTTGAGTCAAAGACTAGAGGTAGGGCAACTCAAACGAAACTCCCCTCTCGAAATGAGCCGTGGGAGAGCATCGTCTGCCCTCTCGACCCCATCGACAATGCCCCCCAATTCTTTTCGTTTTTCTCCCCTCTCATCTCTCTTCTCTATTTGTTGAGCAATAGACTGCCGCTGACCTCGCAGCTTCTGCCACCGTTACATGTGGCTCCCGCATCAAACCTACGGTTTCATTTCACATTGGTTCTTTTAATGCCTCCTGGTCCTCTAGGTTGGGGGTTGGAATAATGGTGGCTCTTTACTCCATAAAACGGATCTTTGTTATCCAGTGTCAAAACCCCGCTACGTTGCGGTCAGCTTATTGAACCAAAGGCTTTGTTTGAGAACCCCAATCGTTCTTCTGTCCCGGCCTTGGTAATCTAATAGTATCCCACCCACGTAATACATTGCGATGACTCTGTCCTCAAACAATTTCTTGATGCTGTAGCCGTCGCACAGGATATTCAATGGCGCACTATCTGCTGCACCGGGCAAGGTGGATAGGAGTTTGTATTCTACGGTTCATACCTTCCCGTCTTCTTATTCCTCCTCTCGCACCTTTTCACCTTTATCTTCTCCTTCCAACTTCACTTTTTCCTCCTCGTTTTAAACCCCCAATCCTCGGCACTCCTCCATCTTGCTTTGTTAGGCCTTTATCTTCTAGTTTAAACTCTCATGAAACTGCGGAGGGTCACTTTTGCCAAGTCCATGCCCAACCAAGCGGTCAAACCCAGTTCATTTGGCTTCTATTTGGAGCCCCCGATCCTCCCTCAGATTAGCATGCCTCAACATACGCACATTGTTACAGGTCGGTCAACAGGCATCACGCCCGAACATTAGAGACCTCGATCAATCTCTACTGCCTATCTGAAACCCGCCTACAGGACTCGAGCTCTGCGCTTGCTTTGCGATCCTCTTCAGCTGACACCAGCAGTGCTTTCTCATTGCGCCTATCCGGAAACGATGCAGCTTCGGGCTCCGGCCAAGCTGGTGTTGGCATTGCCCTGTGTCCCCTGGCTGAAACTGCTCTGGTTGACTGGATTCCAATCAGTAGCCGGATCTGTGCGGTCTAACTGGCTGGCTTGTTCAAAGCTTCGAAATCGCGCGGGACTATTCGGTGTCTATTTGTCATCTCTGCCTACTTGCCCAGATACCATAGCAATGACTCGGTAAAGAGAACTTCTATCGCCAACTGAACGCGTTCCTTCGTCACAGAAGAAGCACGGACACTGTTGTGTTGGCTGGGGATCTGAACACTCAAGTTGGAGAATTATCCACTGATGAACTGCATCTGGGCGGCCAACACGGTCTGTGCTCCTGTAATGATAACGGTGAGCGGTTACTTCATTTGTGTGAGAATGCTCGCTTATTTCTTTGGCAGCACTAATTTCCGACACAGTACCCACAGGAGGATGATATGGCGCTCGCTTTAAAGTCGCCCCGGTCTAACAGGTGTCTATTCGTCATCGCAGCCTATGCGCTCATAAACTGTAGCGAAGATTCAGTTAAAGCCGACTTCTATCGCCAACTGAACGAGCTCGTTCGCCACAGAAGAAGCTCAGACACTGTTATGCTGGCTGGAGATCTGAAAGCTCAAGTTGGAGTATTATCCACTGATGAACTGCATCTGGGCGGCCAACACGGTCTGTGCTCCTGTAATGATAACGGTGAGCGGTTACTTCATTTGTGTGAGAATGCTCGCTTATTTCTTTGGCAGCACTAATTTCCGACACAGTACCCGCGGGAGGGTGAATTAGCGCCCACCAGCCTCGAACCAGCCATGGGCGCAAATCGATCACATTGCGATCAGTCCCGCTGGAGAGGCTGTGTCCAAAACTGTCGTTCGATTTGGAGCACATGTGCGGACACTGACCATGCACTTGTGTGTGCTGGTCTGCAGGTGCGTTTTGGCGCCCACGACGACGCTATGAGTGAATGGAAACCAGTTATCTGGCGAAGCCAGATGTTCTGAATGCATATCAAATTACGCTGGTATCCCGATTGCGCAAGCGCTCACTGAATGCAGTTGAAGGTCACTGGTCGCATGCTCACCAGACCTTACTGCTTGCAACCAAATCCTCATGTGATAAGTCTAATAGCCAACATGAACATTGGATCTCTTAGCGGTCTCTGGAACTTATCGATGCTCGCCGGCTCATTCCCGTTGGAAGCGAACACAATGAGACTCGCAGAGAGCTCCGGACAAAATTCTGTTCTAGTCTGAAGAAAGACAGCTAATCGTCGTCGTCTCATCGTTCCTCAGAGATTGAAGTGCCCGCTGCTTTTGGTAACTCTTTGATACGGGAAACGGGCAGCAGAAGATCTGGTGTTAGTGAAACTATATGTGACAAAAGTGGACAGCCTATCCAAAACTTTTCAAAACGCTCGGATCGTTGGGCTGAGCACTATGAGAGACGATTTAATCGGTCGGAATTGTCAGATTTCTCGCCGGCCGCTGATCGCCCTGCTCCCTGGGCTGTCTCTTTGAATCCGCCCTCTCGCTCAGATTCCAATGTGAGATTGGACTGCTGAAGGGCCACGGAACGAGACGATCTTTATCCAGCTCTCTTCACATTCGAGGGACTTGCTCTTGTTAATGATTTTCATGAGTTACTAGTGAAACTGTGGGAGCAGTAGACTGTCACAACCTAATGGACCCACTCCGTCATAGTCGAGTCAAGTCAAAGTAGGCTTTATGCACCTGGGTAGGTGCATTTTCGGCATGTTACACTATCACTGCGGATGGTGAAGTATATGAAATCACTGTCAAAGAAACAAATAAAATGCCAAAAAATGCCTGCATCTATCGCTCGGGTAAATTATTACGCATCGTGATTACAGTTTTGATTGGGTCAACAAGTAACCGGGACAGGTGCGGTAGAACGTAATTGCAGTACTATTCATTACGAGAAAACAGAACCTTAAATTTCGAGCAGGTAGGGGAAAAAGATAGTTTTGATAGGTTAAAATGTAGTGGATGACGAGGGTCTTTTAGCATTTTGGAGAAAAATTTGTGCAAGCGTCTATGTACTTTTTAACAATAAATCCACAATACACTCTCACGACATTCACTGCATCTGGAAATATGCTTTATGGACCGTACGATCAACA